AGGATAAAGTGGTGTATAGATAATGGATGGATGGATGTATTTATGTTTTTACTTTAGAATCTGAATATTTCTTCCACCTCTGCTGTTTACAGATTACAAGTCCATTTCCAGCTTCCATGAGTTAATGATTTCCTCTGCTTGATGGGTTGACGCATGAGGGGGTCACTCTAAAGATGTTTCTAAATGTTGTATTTTCTATTACAAGAACATAACAACAACAAAAATAATGATAACAACAACAACAACATATGGACTTTTACCTCTGCGAACTGCAGGTGAAGTCTTGAAGGTTGAAGATTAAGAAGATTGCCAATAAAAGGCAGAGCCCAGGGTCCAGGAGGAAAGTTTTTCGGCACTCTGTTCTTCCAAACGTCAGCCAACAGCAGAAATACACAGAGAAATATCAAAATACTTTTGCTGTCTATCCACTCCAAGCCGAGAGCACTGAATATTGCCTCCATGTCTTCGCTTGAACTGCGCTACCAGGACAGAGAAAGAGAAAGATAAGAGTAATTCCCTGTGGTTGATAAGGAAGATAACAAGACTATCAAAATAAGAGCATGTGTGTGTGCATGTGGGCTCTTTGGTGCTGACTAACAACCTTTACTCTTGTAAAAAAAAACAAAAAAACATATACTCCGTCACAAATAAGTAGGTACAAAAAAGCATTTGTATATACAAAATATGTATTTAAAGTTTTGTATTAATACGTGGAATTGGGTTGGGTACCTGTGAACTAAAGCTGCCAGATCAGTTTGTTACCGGTGTTCCAGGTAAACTGGCGATGTTTGCTGCTCGGATGTTCAGTTGGCAGGTTCATCCCAACCAGACCTGCGTGTGTGTGTGTGTGTGTGTGTGTGTGTGTGTGTGTGTGAAGATAAAGATACTACATGAAGAAGAATTTAAAGAAGAACGTGCACATCGTGAGTTAATAAGGTCTATATCCATGTCAATGTCATCTAAGGACAGCAAAATGAAACGTGCTGGCCAAAATCAAAAAGATTTTTAAAAAAACAACAACAAAAAAACGCATTTTTTCCAGTTTGGATTCAAAACTGTGTAGTCCAGCTGTAAAAACACGAGTTCCGTGTTTCAGTCATTGTACCACTGAGCAGCTGGATTAGGATCCTTCTCATCCATATACATCTTTTCCATTCTGTCAGGAAACACGCCCAGATCAACTACAGCTTTACACAGACGCACACTGGCTGTTTAATAACGACACACAAAGCACATTATTGTTTCACCAAGCAAAACCCACAAACATAGAAGCACGTTGTTTTGTGTTGTGTTGTGTTAGTGCGTTCATTCAGGGTCAGAGCTACAGAGCAGAAGTTCACGCTTAACTCAGGTTTCTTACAGTATTATGCTGTGCTGCAAAGTGATTAATATAGATGACGATGTGTGCATGTGGCGTTTCTTATTTTTTCATAATGAGGAAAAATCCCATCGAATTCCATCCCGTCGCATTGATGGGACTTTTGGCTCAGACCCTGTGCCTTTCATCGTGGGGCGTGTCCATGAGATGAGAGATAACATATCTTAAGCTGTGAGTCAGGCTAGCATATCAAAATGTAAAGTAGAGACATATAGCAAGTTAAACTTCGAGCGCAAGACATGGCCTATACGGTAAATCAAGAACTCTTTTTCTGGTCACAATTTCTGTGGTGTTTCTTGATATACGTCGACAATAATTTTCCACAAACCTCTGTGTATTTAGAAGCTGGAGCTGAGATCATCCCACCTTCAGGAAGCTCTGGAAAGCAATTTTCTGTGAATTTTATGATGGTCGCAATTGTTTCAAAAAGTAGTTTTTGACTTTCCCTGTTGGATGAGGAGTTCATCTGTCCTCCTTTGTGTATTTTAGAAACTAGAGCTGAGATTCACCCACACCCCAGACGTCCTGGTAAAGCATGACTGGTTCTTTTTTGTTTTGTTTTTTTGTTATTTTTAAAATTCAATGTATTTTTTATGACTGCACTGGTTGTTGTTGTTGTTTTAAAAGTTGTTGTTTTTTTTTACGTCTCATTAAAGTTTTTCGAAGGGTTAATCTATCCTCCATCAAATATCAGTAGGTTCTTATCTTTATCCATGTTTTGGCTGTTAATTTTAATTTAAAAAAAGAATAATAATAAAAATTCTAACCTAAAAAAACTGAGATGGTACATTAGATCTGTTTTTCACCGTTGCACGTTGCATTTGGGTGGAAAAGTACGACGGAGAGAGAGAGAGATAAATCTTCAGCTTTCATGGCATATTTATTTCAATAACTGGTCACTCACATCTAGCTCACAGCGCGACCGCGGCTCTGACCGTAAGAGCAACATTACCCGCGTACAGGAAGAACCACGACAGGTATATAGAGAGATGGAGGCAAACACTTCTAATATTACACGACAGCACTTCACAGTGGCATAAGCCATTTTCCAGTAAACAGAACAAATATTACAGAACTGTGGACATGGTGGGCACGAGCACAGTTCAAGGGGTCCTATCATCCTTCCCAACCCTCGGTCACAGATGGTTAACCCACAGTCTCCCACTCCATCGGCTCCTCCTCGACCACCAACCCCTGGTCCGTCAACACCTCCTCGGGGGGATAACCGGTCGTCTCCCACTCCACCGGCTCCTCCTCGGGAGAATAAACCTCGGCCTTCCGATCCATCCCAGCAAGAAGAAGAAGAAGAAGAAGAAGATCTGCAAGAACCGTCCACCTCACGGCCACGTCCCGGAATACCGCCTCGGGCTCCGTAGAGACCAGCAGGACATCGTAGGGTACAAAGAACCAGGGATGTTGTTATCAGGAGATTGTTTGAAGGTACACTTTTTTTATTTTTCTCCAAAGTCCTGAAAACGTCAAAAACCTTTGTTTTTAATTATTTATTTTTGTTTTACAGCAGATGGTCAATGCCAAGCGGTGCAGGTTCCAAACGGGGAACATCTGAGCGACGACCCACCTCAGGGGCATCAGAGGGCACCGGGACAACGGCGTGTTCAACACCAACACGCTCTCGTCGCTCTCCAGCAGTTGTGTCGAGTTGTTCAAACTTTTGCCACAAACTTGTGACACGTTTGTTCAATGTGAGTGAAGAGTTAGACCTAGTCCTTGATGAAATAGCATTAGCTGTAGACCAATTAAATCAAATCCACACACCCATAGATGAATCCTCTTTGGCAGACACTCAACAAAATGAGTCGCCTCAAAATGATGTGTTTGAAATCCTTTCACCACCCTCACCTCCTGTCAATCCTCTAAGACAGATCAAACTCACTCTGCAGGATCTAAATAATGACCTCTGTCAAAATGATTTAACCGAAATTCTTTCGCCTCCCTCCTCCCCAATAGATCCTCTAAGACAGATCAAACTTGGTCTTGAGGCTCTAAATGAGGTACAAAGACCTCCCACTCCTCAGCGGGGCTTCGGTCAGGGGGATGGTGAGACCAGATCAACTTCACACGACCACTTTAACACGCTGATCGTGAGGCGTACCCTGAGGGTTCCGTCGCCTCCGTCAGGAAATGAACTGAATCTCTATCAGTTTTATTCTAGTGTGGAGCAAATAATTCAGCAGTTATCTGACGAGGCTCGATCACAGGCTAAACGCAACAATGTCATTCATTTTTGACCTACTTGGACCTCCACCTGCTTCATTTTGTTATCCACAAACATACATTAACTTTTAACTTCTTATTCTGCACCTCAACACTTCAGATTAGAGATCAAAGTTCTGTTAAAAGTTCCACAGTCCAAGCTTAAAACAAAGTGATTTTGCTGTTTTGCCCCCAATGCTAAAGGAACAAGCTCAAATTTACAGTTAAAAAGCTTTTAAAAACACACCTTGTACAGACATTTGTATAGCTTTTGATCTTTTCTCTACTCTTGTTAATACTTGATTGTTCCATTCAATTATTCTTTCAGTACATGAATGTGACAGAAAATGAAGTTTAAGCAAATAAACTTTTTAAATATTTAATCGGAATCACAGAGTATTTTATCCACAGAAACAAACTGTGGTACACAAACCCTTCACAGCTGACACTGTGACCATCTGGGGAATTAAACCACATGTTTACAATTATACAATCAGGACAAAAGAATAATTCAATTCAATATAATGCATATATTTCATGCATTCAGCTCAATCAATACATATCACTTCAATTCAATTCAATTAATATATGTGCTTTAACTCTGTTTAACTCATGTGGACTTCTGTGAACATGGAGGCTTTCTTGGCTCTTACTTCATGAGAATATGCGGTTGTGTACATCTGTGTTCAGAGTGCAACACTTTCCACAAAGTCACACTGCTGACAGTTTGGCCCGAGTCAAAAGGGGCATGATGGATGACTGGGCCATAGCTACTAAAGTAAAGTGTCTTGTGACCGACGCAGCACCAAACATGATTTCATCCGCAAAGAGTCTCCAAATTCTGCATTCAGTTTGCATTGAACACACTTTAAATGTATTACTAAATACGCCATCAAATCCCTACACTGACATCAATCAGGCACAAATCTAGGCGAATTGTGACATACTTCAGATCAAGCACCACAGCCAAAGAGAAGCTTGCTCAAGCAACAGATGGGACGGCCAACCCTGAACCTCATCAATGAGGTGCCAACACGCTGGAACAGCACGTGTCAAATGCTGGCAAGGCTACATGATGAGAAGGAACCAGTGTGGACATCCCTTGCCTCACTAAATATGGACATAACTCCACTTAGGGATGATGCGTTTACCATCATAGAAGAAACGCTTCTTGTGCTCGCTCATTTCCATCAAGCTACAGTGGAGTTGTCTGAAGAGACGAGAGTTTCAGGGTCAAAGGTCATCCCCATGATGAAAATGCTCTATCATGCGCTTGAGCATAACACTTCAAATTTGCACACACAGGCAGCAGCGCACCTCCACGAACACCTTAGGCGACAAGTCACAGATGCTGCTTCCAATCTGGAGTCATTCAGTGTGTTGTCCTTATCAACAGACCCCAGATTTAAATCACTCGGGTTTCTCCTGCAAATGCAGTGAAGCAGTCAGTAGACTGAAATCAGAATGTGTGGCTGTAATTGGGCGCACATCAACTGAGTCACAGCCTGGACCTGCTTCACAACAGCTATCGGCTCCCGCTTCAGGCATGTTATTCAGTTTTATCAGTTTATTTGTACATTTATTTGCTTGCAAATCATGTGCTAAAATGCCAATTTGTTGTTTTTCAGATAACCTGTGGCAGCACCTGGATGAGGAAGTTGGCAGGCAGACCACCAACATCACAGCTGATTCTATGATTGAGGTTCAGAAGTACCTGGCAGAGAGCAGCGTTCCAAGGTCCCAGGATCCTTTGAAATATTGGGACACCCAAAAGAACCTGTACCCAAACCTCTTCCGGCTGTCCCTACAATTTTTGTGCACACCAGCCTCATCTGTGCCATGTGGGTGTTCTCTAAAGCTGGAGAACTTGCATCAAAAAATCACTTTGATTGCAAGACATTGGAACAATTGATTTTTTAAAAATAAAAATGTATACTGCAAACATCCCCTCCTTGCGTCAAAGACAAGTACATAGACATCCTCACATCCACAACACTTTCACTTTGATTTTCACGTTATGCCACACGTTCATAGTATTTGACTGTATATTTTAAAGATATCAGATACATTCTAAACTGAATTAAGATATAAAGCAATACAATATAAAATACAACAACTTAAATTATATTATTGTATATACTAGGTCATTAAATCAGTATGGGCTGCAAGGTGGCTCAGTGGTTAGCACTGTTGTCTCACAGCTAGAAGTTTGCCAGTTCGTGTCCTGGTTAGGACACCCGGGATCTTTCTGCGTGGAGTTTGTATGTTCTTCCAGTGCAGCGTGGGTTCTCTCCGGGTTCTCCGGCTTCCTCCCACACAGTCCAAAAACATGTTGAGGTTAAATGGTGATTCTAAATTGTCCGTAGGTGTGAATGTGAGTGTGCTTGGTTGTCTGTCTCTAAATGAGGCCCTGTGATAGACTGGTGACCTGTCCAGGATGTCCCCTGCCTTCACCCTAAGTCAGCTGGGATAGGCTCCCCCCCGGTGACCCTAGTGAGTATTAAGCGGTTATAGCTAATGGATGGATGGATTAAGTCAGTATGTCAGTTGAGCCTGTCAACGAGGTTGACTGTAAGGATTTTTAAGATCCAGCAGGTGTCAGTATTGACATTACAATGGCACAGTACTGACACATCAATGCAGTTTGGGTAATGTGCCACAATGCTTCATGAGGCCTCATCGACCCATCACTAGAGATCACACTGCAACATCCAAAGACAACAATTAAAAAGGCCCACCTTAACTTCTGTAGATGAACTATCCCTAAAATAACTGAAGGCATCTTACCGCAACTCACAGCTGAAGCCTCGTGTCTCTCCGCCCTCCTCACCTGACTCACATTGTCGTTGCTTGCCCTAATCAGACAAATGGGGACCACCAGATGCCACTGCTTACAAGTGGCTGTGATGCCAAGGGAAAATACACGGTAAAGACTCATTCATCCATTCACTAATACACCAGAGGGGCATACAAACAAGCAAGTTTGACATAGCCAGGCTTTCTTTGTGTAAGCCAAATCGACAAAACCGAAAGCCCCAGCCAGAGATTACGGGTATCACGAAGGTGGTTATCAATTTTCTTTGTCAACTCAGGCTTTCTGCTTCAGAGTCTGTGCGCGTTCACATAAAAAGGGTCGTTTAACGCGTCACGTGACTCTTCTTCTGCACATTTCAAAACCGATCATGTGCAGCTGCTTTAATCAGCACGTTGCTTTAACAGAGAACAATGAGGAATATATATATATATATATATATGTATACACACAGCGCCCTCCATAATTATTGGCACCCCTGGGTAAGATGTGTTCTTTAGCTTCAAGTAAATTCAGTTTTTTTCTAAATAATATAGGACCACAATGAAAAAAAAGAGGAAAATTCAACCTTTAATTCACGTGCATTTATTCAGTGTGGAAAAAATCCCACATTAAAAAATATTTCTTTTACGTCAAATCATGTGTGCCACAATTATTAGCACCCTTGATGTTAATACTTTGTACATCCCCCTTTTGCCAACAATTCATTTGAGTTGAGGTGAAGATTACATTTTTCTGCTGTTTTCAGTGTGAACATATGCTTGAATTAATTTTAAGGCTTTTAACACATCTTAACCAGGGGTGCCAATAATTATGAAGGGCGCTGTATATATATTTAAAAATGTGTCAGTATAAAGTGCTGCTACTGCAGATGGTGCAAGACAGGAGTGCTGGTAGAAAACTGTTACATGTGTTCATATACAATATTTTACTGATGCAGCCGCTTATTTCCAACTGACAGTTGCACGTTAAAGTTAAACTTTAACCTTCATACATTTAAACGTGATCTTGTATTGAAGTGCATTTAGGTCTGACACTTTCCCACAATGCAGGATATCTATCTATATATGGAGGATTTTATTGTTGTTTTTTAATTGTTGTTTTTTAATTGTTTATTCTCTTCTTATTGGCTTGTTTTATTTATCTTTAATGTATCGTCTTTTTCGGGGGATTGAACAGAGTAAGAATTTCATTGTGTAGTACAACTACCTGTTTTGCTGTGCATATGACAATAAAACTCTTGAATCTTGAATCTTGAATTAATTTTTGGCAAAATCAGAGCGAAATTAATGTTATTGATTGAATATTCTCTGTAATAAATACCAGCAGAAAATCCATTTTATAATCTGTGTTCTATCAGCAGCAGTACCAGCAGTGTAAACGGACTTGAGAGCAGATCAGAGCCAAACATAAAAACATATTTATGTGATTTCTGCATGGCCAACTTAAATGTGATATTTACAGTAGGGCTGGACCCAAACATCCAAATTTCTGAATATTCGGTCGTTGTGGTGGTATATGTTATATATTCACCTGCAACCTGCCACCAGTGCGCACCCCACCGCCCCCGCCGATGGTGGCAACAGAACTGTGACCACCAACCTAAACTGGCATCAGCTGCCAAATACTGCCTGTGCAGAGCGCTCGGTCTCCGTCTCCACTGACAGTGTGAGATATTGTAACTGCACGACTTCATTCAGTGATATTAGTAACGCACAACTCAGCATGTTTGCAGGTAAAACACATTACCTCAGCTGAGAATCTGTATCTCTTTCCAGCTGATTTAAATCCGAAACTCTGAACATAACCACAGCATAAGTTGCCATGGAGATCTAGCCAGGTAAAAAGAGAGCCACCTTCGTGGTACTGACAACTCTGGCTTTAAGCTCAACATACCTCACTAATCCACTGATCTTGCTTCGTGCTATAGCCCTCTGCTCTGGCAGGTGTTCTCCAACCATCTGGAGCAACTTAGAGTACCGACAGCCTTTTGATTTAAAGACAGCGCACACTACCACCCGAGCCCGGTTGAACTGTATTTGTCTGATAATTGATTAGACTACACTTTACATTACTTACACAAAACATTATATTCCCTGCTTTTAAGTCAGACTACTTGATTGTAGGATCCCTGATTAACCGTTTTACATCACTTTTCTATGTACAAAGAGGTCAGAGTCCAGGGGAATTAGTAGTTGTGATGCCAATAGATAAAATAAAGCTTTGCTCTGACAAGAGAGGGAGGACTGATATCATTCCCTCCTGCCAGCAAAGCATCAGCCCTCTGTCTTTCTGGAGAAGAAAGGAAACAGTGCTCAACTAGACAGGCCGTGTTTGCAGGATGGATTCAGTTTTTTCTCTAATTGGACCCTATATTGACTGGGATTTCAAAACCTTCTTGCTCTTCACTATAGTTTTCTTCATCACAGCTGATATTGTCAGGTACCGTCGGCCGGTTGGCTTCCCTCCAGGGCCTTGGGCTCCTCCAATCGTGGGCAACATGTTCACTGTTGACTTCACCAGGACTCATGAAGTTTTCACGCAGGTATGAAAAAACCACAATGCTGACACGTCAATTTTTTATTTGTTTTTTTCCCCCGTTATCTGTGTTCATGTGTCTTGCTCTCCCCTCTTTCCTAAATCCTCACCCAGTTAGCAGAAAAGTATGGAGACGTGTACAGCCTAAGGATTGGCAAGAGGTGGTTGGTTGTACTAAACAGGTCTGAGGTTCTGAAAGAAGCTCTAGTAACACAGGGAGACAGCGTGGTGGACCGACCACAGCTTCCTTTGATGCAAGACATAACATCTGGACTAGGTAGAAGGACTGTATGCTTTCAATATAACTTTTGCTGTTACAAAGTCCAAACTAGAAAAGATGTTTTTTTTTCTATATTTTTTGTGTATTTTCTGGTCAGGTGTGATTTTCAGTAGTGGACTCAACTGGAGGCAGCAGAGGCGATTTGTACTTTCAACCCTCAGACATTTTGGAATTGGCAAGAATTCACTTGAACCTGTCATCCTGGATGAATTTACACATTGTGCAGAAGTGTTCAGAAGCTTTAAAGGTACATAGCTGACACACAGAGACACATTTCTAATGATCAAATTCACAGTTTTCATATAGTTTTCTATTCAATTGTGAAGGTCAGCCATTCGATCCTCATCTCGTCACGAACGCCGTCTCCAACATCATCTGCTCCCTGGTTTTTGGTCATCGCTTTGAGTACAGTGATGAGAAGTTCCAGAAACTGTTTGGAATGCTTGATGATGCCTTCCAGATTCAAGCCTCCATTTGGGCACAGGTACTGCATTTTAAAGCTGCTGATTGAATACTTATTCTGTGTACCTCTTTGTGAAATGGTTTCACGTCAGTAAATGATCTGTTCAGGCCCATGGGTGTAACATTTTTCAATATTCAGTGTTAGATTGTTAATGCATTTCTAGTGACTAAATAATTCCACACATTATTTAATACTTTGTATGTCTCCAGTTTTAATCTACAATATAGACTGTAGCCCTGAAAGACACAACAGTGTTTAGGATTTGGAAAGCAAAAGTGCATCATAGACAACGAACTCAAGCAAGTCCAGTTGCTACGATTAATCTACCAGAATTACCATGACCTGGATGACTGAGAATCTTCACAGACATCACAGAAATATCCGACATGTGTCTGACAGTGATGAGATAGGTTGTTCACCACAATGAGCTCCTTGCTTTGTAAAGTACTGTTAACAGAACCGGTAACGTTGGAGCTTAGTGATCCTCTGGTTTTTAAACATTTCGGTCCGGGGCTGGTGTAATACTGGGGCTCGGTAATATGCAACATGCAGCGCTCAGCTGGGGGCTTGGGGGTATCCCCTCACCACCCTGGAACCTCTCACCCTGGGCAACTCCAGAAAACAAGAGAGTCCAACCCGTCTTTCTCTCCAGGAGTTTGGTTGCAGAACCTTTGCTGTGAGTGGAGGTGAGCCCAGCTATATCTAGTCAGTACTGCTCCGCCTCACACGCCAGCTCAGGTTCCTTTCCCGCCAGTAAAGTGACGTTTCACGTCCCCACAATTAGTCTTCACCACCAGAGGGCAGCATGCCTAGGTGCCCTCTCCTGTCCACTGCCCAGTGTGCACAGCACCTGAACCCAGTTTCCATCCCTGTGGGTTGAGGGCCCACTGGACGGTGGCCCCATGTTGCCACATCGGGCTGTGCCTGTCTGAGCCCCACGGGCCATGCTTGGCCATCAGATGTTGTAGATGAGCTCCACTCCCACGCCTGGCTCTAGGAGGGGGCTCTGTTTTCCTTTTTCTGGGCGAGGTGGCACCTTTTCTTTAATATTTTTTTTTTAATTTCATTGGGGTTTTAGGAATACTTGAGTAGGTGTGTCCACTGGTGCTGTTGGTGTAGTCAGTGAAGTTAGAGAGAGGCTTGACCTTTGTTCATTAACCATCATCTTGTTTTGTTGAAAACTTTGTCGGGGGCGGCTATGGCTCAGGTAATCGCAAGGTTGGTGGTTTGAACCCCACTCTCCACAGTCAAAATGTCCTTGCGCAAGACACTTAAACTGAAGTTGCTCTCAATGGCAGGCAATGTCGCCATGAATGTTTATGAATGAGAGAACATTGTAAAGTGCTTTAACTATCATTTTCCTTTTTTCAGGTAAGCGGCTCTGTCTCGGGGAGAATCTGGCCAGGATGGAGCTCTTCCTCTTCTTCACCTCCTTCATGCAACACTTCACCTTCTCCATGCCTGCTGGGGTGAAGCCATCAATGGACTACAGCTTTGGTGTCACTCTGTCACCAAAGGAATATAAAATATGTGCAGTCTCACGTCAGGAGTCGTATATTTTTTAAAAAGTTATATTTTTTCTGTGTCGATACAAATGTTTCTTTAACTGTGTGAAGGTTCAGAGAGCCTGTGATTGTAAATCAAATCTCCACCTGATACACTGTAAAAATAAAAGAGGTTTTTAAGAAGTTTTATTTGTAATTTTTTTTTTTTAACATTTCATTGTTATTTGACAGCTTTTCTGATTTGTTAAGTTACAGATTATAACTATTAATTTACATGTAAAACATTTAATAAATCATCCAAAAGTTAAAAGTTATGTAAATTCTGTCCACATTGAAAATGACAACTTTTACAAATGAGAGCTTTTTCTTTCACCGTGTTTTCCAATACAATTATACTATTTTGACTGTTTTTAAATCAGAAGAAATATATATAAGCAAATATGTGCTGTTACTTGAAGTGAAATTATGTGTATTTAAAATATTTTAATAGATTTTGTTTGCTTGCAGTTTATCTGAAAAGTCCCTGTCCTGTTGACTGTGGGTCACAGCTGAGTTGGTCGTGGCTTTACGGTTACTTGGATTAGTGCAGAATTCACTTTTGATTTGGTGAATTTTCCTGATATAACCTCAGATCACAGAAAAGTAGTTCAAAGACCGCTGGAAAGTTGAAAATCTAGTGATTCTTTGTTTTCACAGTTGTAGACTCTGATAAATGGTGTCACTTCTTTAATATACCTAACATGTGTTTAAACGGTCCATTTTCATATCCAGCAGTTCTTCAGCTTGTGTCTGTTCTCATTCATGGCATTACTGTTTTACACTATTTCGAGATACACTGAAAGATTCCGAATGTGTAATGAATCAAACTTGCACAACTCCACCCAATCACAATATAGCAGTTTTAATGCAAATGACCCACATGATAACACAAAATAAAATCTGGACAAATGAATAGTATTTGAATTAATATTCATTGTGTACATTCAAACATCAATATACAGCAGTGGCGGAGGGCTGTGGCTGGAGTCTGGATCACTCAGTCGTGGTGCAGCGGCTCGGGTCTCAGGGTCTGTGTCGTCTCTGTACACTAAGCTTCAGAGGTGGAGACTCTAAAGCACATCAATGGTTAGATAATTGACTTTTGCTGCCTCATGTAAACAAAGTGTTTGAAGCATGATCCCAACAATGAAAAACACAGATTTCAGCAGCGGCTATTGACAAAGTGAAAGCACACACACGTCTGTATCTCAAAAAAGTGTTTAAACCTTTATCAAACACATTTAGCTTAATCAATTTTTATTTCTTAACTGATGATGCTATTTGGAAGGATGCGTTCAATCAATAATGTCCAGAAAGATTCAATTGTTCTCCATATTTTGGGCGTTAGCTTCACAAAACAGTTAAATAAGACTGATTTGTTTTGATTTGTCTGTTTGATTTGCTGCATTGTGAAGCACTTTGTAACATGGATTTTGAAAAATTCTCTAAAAATAAAGGTTGTATATTGAATTGAATTTCCCTTCTGGGATGAATAAAGTATTTTTCATTTCATATATATTATATGCTCCCTTACATTAGTTACTGGCTGTTTCATTTGGGGGGGAAAAGGCCTCTGCACACCATTGGGTATGATGGTGCACGTGAAAGCTCCATTTTTTTATGTTTTTAAATTGTTATGATGGTGGTAACTGTTAATCATATTGCAAATGAAGGCTGAAGCTAACTGGAAAACCTATTTAGGATTCTCCCCTTGTCTTCCAAGTAAGTCAAAAGAGCCTTCCCAAGAAATTAAATGTTACCACCTTCCTACTGTTCTGTTTTAAACTTTTAAATTTCACCCTAACATCATTCAGTCAACATTCAGACAGGCAAAAAGCATGAGTGGTGCATTACCTTTTTAATTTATTCATATTCTAAGGATCTTCTTCCATTTCGTGGCTGTAGGTGCAAACATAATTTATAAGTTCATTGTATTATGTAGTTGTTTTTTTAAATATATAATTTCTTTTTATTTTCTTTCTTACACATTCATTCATACCCGATAGAGAAAGTGGCCTCTGCTCTGGATTCCCCCAGGTCCCTGGAGTTCAGCCTGTGCAGAAAAACAAAAACTACAGAATCGAACTTTCCACACAAGAGCCCATCTCGGTCTTATTTGCCATTTTCTGTGCGTCGACCACAACATCCATCCGCCCCGAGAAGCCGACTGCATGCACCCGCACGCAAACACTCTGGATTTTCCAAAACAAACCCTCTCCACGTTTCCTCGCTCACAACTCCTCCGTGTCCACTTTGTGAATGTCAGTGCTTGATAGCAATGAGGGATAAGTTCACCTGTCAGCTGCACTAATTTTAGACCATAATTACTCTCAGCTTGGGGAAAGAACAACTAATGTCGACTGAGCTCGTACAGAGAGTGAGGAGAGCTGCCCGATATGAAACAGCATTATTGACATGTAAGCTCAGGAAGAGGAAAACACACTGAAATCAACTGCAGAATGGAGCACGCACATTTCAGCGTTAACATTTGCTGCAAAGATACAAAAGTACAGTGCACTGCTTTCATTGTGGAAATGTTGTCTTTTATGTATGTGCTGTTTCTATACTATCTTGTTGTTGTTGAGAGATATAAATGCATTATTTTATGCTGTAACTCTGGAATCAGGAAATGTCAGAAGAAATCATACCCAAAAAAAAAGAGGATTTTATGACTTTTTTGCATTCAAAAAACAAAGTTCTCAATATCTTTGTTTTTATCGGGCAGTGATTGTGAGATTTCTGTACACAAAAAAACAAACAAACAAACAACAAAAAAAGATGGGTTGTACATACGTGCATTGTGAGTCCTCTCCCTCTTCTGGTATGGAGTTGAGAAACTAGATGCAGAAGAGGGTGCAACCGAGGAGTCTGACGAACACACACAGACACACAGGCAGACCCAGACAGTAAACATGAATAACGAGAAAGTACACAACATGGGAATGTGCACGGGCAAAGAGTCGACACACGAGAACATGCGACACAGAAACGTGACACAGATGCTTTCCACGTTGCAGCATTTTGATTCACATTCTGTATTATTGAATATCCTGGTGATGGAGGAGCAGAAAACTCAATATCTTCATATTTCATTGAAGAAATATGGCGAGTTATTTCACATAAAATGAGGCAAGTGAATGTGCACCCTGGGATGTTTTGTGGGTATGTTGCACATAAAGAAAAAAAACAACATGTAACTTCCCCAGATTTTTCACAATAAGCTTAATGCTGTTCTCTGCATCATTTATGTTGACTTTTTCATCTGATAAATGACCAGAAACTCCTTTGCAGTTTAACCAGATAGAAATAATATCATTAAAAAGACTGCATTTCATGATGAAAATGCAATATAACTATATATTGTCTTTATAATTATGTGTAAAATAAGAGCTGCATACACATTTTAAATCTTTCTACAACTTTTCCCGTCTTTCTTATTTGACTTTTTGGGGCAAACAGCCATCAACATCCGTGCAACCAAGAAATAAAGCAGGCTGTGGAGCAGTGCCCTCGCCCCCCTACACTAAATGGTTTATTAGAATAAGCATCTCACATACACAACAAGGGAGAAGAGTCCTAACACAAGATTTGTGTATCTTAAGACTGCGTGCATGCTCGTGTCCTGGTGTTTGTCTGAAGGCATGCATTCATTGTTCATTCCCATGTTCCTGCATGCATTTTCGTGTTGGGGGGAGTAGCTTCTGGACACTGGGTCTGCAGAATGCTCAAATCAGGTGATTGAGAAAGACTCTTTAATTATTAAATAATATAAGGCACTTTCGTAGGTCAAGCAACAGACTGTAGCAGTGAAGTTTCATCCTTTCTCTTACTTACCGCCCCCTGAGACAACTCAGTAACTTGTGGTCTAGAGTAATGAAATAAAAACTGCACACACAGTGCAGGACATATAATAACAACAAAACACACATACAGACACAAATAAGCCACAAAACACAAATTAGGTTTAGTCTTATGATGCCTAATCTATTGTGATTGCTCATAATCATGTCAGGGAAAATAAATTAGATAATTAGGGAAAACTTTTACTCACCCTTTTACTATTTTCTTGCACTTTCAGCTCCTGAATGAACAATAAAAGGAGTCTTTCGGTTGACATCATGCTCTTAATTTTGACAAAATTCTCAAATTTATGTCCAACTGTGCCACATTCAGTGAAACAAAACTGTGAGCAAAGCTGCTATCATGTCACTTTCCTGCAATTAAACATTCTGAGACGAGAAGTCTGAGGTACCTTTGACTTTTGAACCAACATCAACACACAGAGTTCTCCTAAGACATCAGACGCCTGGAAAAAATGACAAGAGAGCAGTTAAAAAAATAATAATCGCATTAATCACGCAGTAAACAAGACAGTTTTAGTGTCAGACTCTACTCACCCATAACTTCAGGTCTGCGGAGAGGTAGGATGAGCACACAGCGTCTATCTGTGGAGCATCACACAGGATGATGGAGGAGCGCATCAACAGCAAGGATACAGAAAACAGAAGGATTAAAACGTACCTGGCTGAGTAGCTGCCTCTGGTCTGTTGTGGCCTGCTGAAGATCTGCTGGAGCACCTTTTGTTTCAACACAGAAATACAAAATTCAATTCATATTTAAACTGAAAAGACTGTCTTAATAATCATTATAAAATGTACAGTGTTGACACCTGACTACAAATGCACGCTTTTATTGAGAGAGAGAGGTGGTAATGCACGATGGCACTATAGAAGCTGCAGATCAGTGGTGGCTGTGATAGGCAGCGATGGCAGACAAATCCTCCCATATGATTCGGAATGATTGCGCTGGATGTCCATTAGCAGAGTAAGAGCTTTACTGTGGAACGTGAAGGTGCTTATTGTCCAACATGCTCATGTATGAGTACATCCTGATGGCTTTGGAAAAAAAAAAATCTGAAAAAAATGTTGACATTCACAAACACTTTGATTAAAAGAAAAAACTAAGTGGACAGCTTGTTCAATCTCAAAGCCAATGCAAACATGACTTTAACCTCAGAGGAAGCAGCGACTGTCAATTGAAGAAGCGACTGTCAGTCTGCATCTGCATGCCTCTCAGTCACTTGTGGCTTTATGACACAGTAAACACACAACAGACACAAGAGAGTTGTTGCTGTCAAACTGTCCCGTCTAATTCAGCATCACATCAGATAGGAAGGACGGACGGTTAGACAGATGGATTCAAAAAAATCTTTTAAACGTGAATCAAGCCTTTTTATTTAGCAGTTACATGGAGAAAAAAAACTACAGTATAAATATATACATAGACACATACACACAACACATGATTGCATGAAAGTATTTAGAAGATAAAGCACATAAGATACCATGAAACCATGCAAATGTTACAATGTTATACTGAAGACATATAACATTATTAGTTGGACTTTATTAGTGACTATCATTTGAAATGCTAAATTATCACAATCATGTGATCAATTATATGTTATGCTGTCTTAAATGTGCATCTTAATTCAGGAATACAGTAAGTGCATAGATAGATAGATAGATAGATAGATAGATAGATAGAAGTGTTTCTATGGCTTCCTATACTGTACAACTTGTTTGTTGTTGTTGTTGTTCCTCTAGGTAAAGAGAAAAGAAAAACAAAAGCCAGAGAAAGAGAAAGGGACTTACTGTGACAGAGTGGCGCGGTGAGGAGGAGCAGGGCTGCCAGGGTGCACATGCTGGCCGCGCTGAGCGGACTCATGGCGCTGCTGCTGCTGCTGCTGCTGCTGGAGGCTCCGCTGTGGCTCCGGACGCTGCTCATCTCCTTCTCTGACTGGCCTTTCTCCTCTGTGGTGTTTTTTTTTTTTTTCCTCCTCTTCTTCTTCTTCTTCTTCTGACTCACTACTGCTTTCTGTCTTGGCACTACTTTGATGCTCTGCCTCTTCGCCATCAGATCCCCCTTCTTTGAAGGCTCGTGTCACACGCACCCTCCTCGCGCGCTGACACTTGACTGAGTCATTAGAAGCTCCGCGCGCGCAAAAACGAACTTGTGGATGAGATNTTTTTTTTTTTTTTTTTCCTCCTCTTCTTCTTCTTCTTCTTCTTTTTTCTTTTTCTTTCTTTTTTTTGTTGTTGGACTTCTGGCTCTTCTGACAGTGTCGCTCTCACGTCAGATGAATATGAAGGCTCGTGTCACACGCACCCTCCTCGCGCGCTGACACTTGACTGAGTCATTAGAAGCTCCGCGCGCGCAAAAACGAACTTGTGGATGAGATCAACAGGTGGAAGGAAGAAGAAGAAGAAGAAGAAGAAGATGCACCAGGGAGGAGAGAGAAGTAAAGATTTAACAAGTTGAGCAGAGCAGGGAGGTCAGCTGGAGACCATCAAGTCCCAAACAATACTGGAAACGCGCTTTATTACTGTTTTCTTTCTTCTTATTTCCCTCCTTAGTAGAACACAAGAAGCCTATTGGTGGAGAAAGCATTCAAATCCTTTACTGAAGGAAAAGTACTGATAGCAAAATGTCAAAATACTTCACTTAAAGTCAAAGTCCTGCATTCAACACTTATTTATACATAACTAAGTAGAAGTATTGCCGCACTAAGAGCAAAAATGCAAGTAATCTATCAGGAGTAAAAGTAAAACTAGACAGTTATTTATTTATTTATTTATTTTTAAAGTTCACTGGGATTGTTTTAATATTGTATATCACGTTTTTGGATTACAACAGAATTTTACTGCTGTAGATGTTTAAGTTTGAGTTAATATTACTCTGGTTTGACATTGAGCTACACTGTAAAAAAAAATTACAGATATTTAGCAAATTCACAAAAAAAATCTATATGTTGAGAGTAAACACAATCAACAAACACGCCAAAAATATAAATAACATCAAAACTCTATATTTACACTTGATTTAAATGTGTTTAAATTAGCATAAAATCTAATTTATTTTACAGATATTTGCTATTATTTGAAAAGGGGGAAAAAAAACATATTAAGGACTGAAAAATGGCAAATAATGAATGTCAGTCAGCAGATTTCTCCTGTTTTGTTAAATTACAGAAATATCTAGTCAAACCACACACATAAAAACAAATTAATTTAGATGTTAACTGTAAAAAAAAAACTTTAAATACATCAAACACATCAAAAAAATATGTATTTTATTTTTACATTTTTCTTTTACAATGTGTGACCTTAAAATTAATGTTTACTGTACTAAATTTAAATCTTTTTTTTTTTCTTAGACGTTACAGTATTCCAGAATTTTTTCACATATTTTTTTCTGGCACCCTTGCTGTCTGGTTTTCGAATTTGTCTTACATGATTTTCATTTATTTATTATTTAGAGAGTATGCATCATATTGTATAGGGAATTGTTGTGTTACGATAAAGTTGTTTCTAAAACTTTTGATAAGCTTAGAGAAGAAAACTCTGTTTTCAGCTCTCTGACAACACTTTTATCACAATCCTGTTTAATAGTCACACCTTAAGGTCCCTCTCTGGTTTTGATTAAACTCCTAAAAACTCATCGCTGTGTAAAGAAGTCACATGTTCAGTTACGTGTTTTAAAGTTCCTGCTTTAAAACGGTTTAGATCTAAGGTCACACTGTTGATTCCTTTAGGAGGGCCTCTCTCTCTACCTACCCCTCTGCGACTCACTGCAGCTGAGGCACTCCAGCTCACCTTCCAAACAGGGCACTTTACATTTTCCATGTAAATAATCCCTCCCGCAGGCTCAGATGTAACTACATACTGTTGTTTCCTCGTGTACATGCAGATCTATGAAGTTCCCACCTCTCTCTGCCCACCCACCCCTCTGTCACTCACTGCAGCTCAAGCACACCAGCTCACCTACAACTTTGCTCAAACACTGTCAAACTACTCTGTGCTACACAATGACAACTTGCAGTGGTTGACATGTATTCATGCATACATGTCAAAATAAGAAAAAAAACAAGATATGGAATGATTCGGAAAGACCCAAACTAGGTTCATAGGAACGTGAAATTTCAAATCCTGGATGTCTGAATCCCTGTTTTCAGACTGTCATCGGTGGCCTGCATTTTTAAGGTCAAATTGCTTCGCCATGGCACTGACTTCTTATTTCATATTTGATTTCTCATTATATGCATCCAGGCATATAAATTACACCATACGGACATGTTAATAAGGTAAATGAAAAACTTGATTTTTACAGAGGAGGTTTTAAAAGAATATGAAAATACCCTCAACCCATAAAGAAACGCTTAATTTTTCATTTTGTCAGAAATTCCTAAATATAAAATCCACAAATTGGGAGATACATGGTTTTCACTGGACAGGAAAGTTGTGAAAAAGTATAATCTGAAAAGTAACCAAGGCTGTCAGGTAAATGTAGTTGAGTAACAAACACAGTATTTGCCTGTGAGATGTAGTGAAGAACTGCAAAGTTGCACAAAATGGAAAAAAAAAAATAAACAAAGTAAAGTACCTCAAATTTATACAAAACACAAGTTTTTGAGCAAATATACTTAGTTACATGACACCAGTATTTGCCAATAAAAAAAATCCATTGGCATACTGCAGCAGATTTATGTTATACTGGAGATGTTACCAGAAAGAGACTTGCCAGTTAAAGAATCTAAAGAGAAATCTATGTGAGGATTCTGTAACAGCCAATCGTCTGTTTTGTCATCGCAGAACTGCATAGCGTCCAGGTCCTGACTGGGTCCTGACATGGTGAGCATACATAGCAGAAGTACCACCTCTCAGGAAAAACACGTTAATGCCTTGTTTTGGGTCAACTTCACCTGATCTATTAAGCATTTTAAATATATTTGCACATTAATTCTATACATATGCATTGAAATTGCAGATACAGCTCCTTACCCATTCACTAATAAAGAGGCCTGGACTTTGTACACCTGTAACCTAAATTAACAATAGAATTCCTTTACAATCAGTTCAGTCCTCATGTGTGTTCCCAAAACAAAACACCAGGTTATATATATAATAACTGAGGGATGGTGCAGACTGTTGTTGTTCTGTGAACTTGTGGGTCATGTTTTGACCCTCTAAGCAGATAATCCGAGGGATCAGACTTCACAACATTCAGATTTTCACCAAAACCTCACCTCACCTATGTGACGGAAAGTGTTAATTCACACTTGAGCGTCACTGTAATAAACATCAGTGACATGTGGTAATGCAATGTGATATTTTAGCCAGATAATACAATTTATGGTTGATTATTGTGTTATGAGATTTATTACATTTTCCCGATGATCTTATGAACACTTTTTAGCAGTTATCTGCCACAGTGACATATCCCTTCCAAGCATACGAAGCCTTTACTGTCGAACAGAGACTGAAAGATTACAGCTCTGATGGCATCACTGCTGAGGTAAACCAAACTCAAGTTACTTAATTTCAGCAACAGCCACAATGAATTCACAATTACATTAATGAAACTCAACTTTTATTTTAAATAAAATCACTCCAACTTTTCAGCAATGCTTTTTCCGGCCAATCCAACGGCAGTCCACACATAAAATAATAAGTATAATTGTATGAATTATGTCATCATTTTCAACTTTTGTTAAGCTTTTCATGCGTGCACACTGTTACGTAAATTTACTTCATTATTAGGGAGACTCATTATGGATCATTTCTAAATTAGCTTTTCTCATAGCACTCAGGTAATGTGTTGGTCTTTGTGTGAAGCAGCGTGTGTGAAAGCAGAAATACTCTCCGGCGCGACATTTCAATTTGATCTGTTACAATAAATCAGGCAGCATAATAATAATAGTAATAATAAAAAAAAAATTGCTGGCCTGTTTCATTCAGCAAAAACCCAGTGTGAATATAAAATGAATTCATGTGCTTTTACAAATGAAGGTGGGTTTATTTTGGCTGTAATTGGCCGCATTGTTACAAGAAGGGAGTCTTGCATGTGCTATGAGGAGGAGATGTGGGACAACGGTGAAGGCAGGGAGAGAACGGATGATGAGAAATAGATGCTGCAGAAAAAATTTGCAAGATTTACTGTATTCGTGCAGATATTCCATTAGGATTTTGCACACAGAATAATATGTGATGCATTGCATTGGATGCAGTCTTCAGAGCGCTCGCGTTCATGCACAAATACATCTTGTTGGGAAGTTATTTGATTGAGTGCCGTCATTACCTTCAGTGGAAGTGCAGTATTTTTATTTTATCACTGCAACAATGAAAGCTAATTTATAAGGCGTATCGCTGTGACGCACTCGACAGAGGACTGTAATCAAAAGACCTCATCATAGCTTTGTTTTCGAAATCTGATGCGAGTTTGCTTAACAGCACGAGGAGCAACAAATGGAGCGCTGCGATAATTGAGCAATTCAAGGAGTCATTGCACTCATCTCCACCCTTGCCATCCTCCTACACTAATCTCTCTGTCCTCTTTAATCTCCCACTTTTCCTTATTCTCATGAATCCAAACCAAACAGTGGAGGTCAGCGGGAGAGCATAGCAGCAGGATGGTGAGACGGATTGTTTCCGCAGATCTGTCACAGAGGCGTTCATTTGTAAGCCCTTTCGAGGTGAAATGACAGCGAAGCCGCTTCTGTAGCATCACCAGGTGTCTCCTAGAAGCTCTGGAGAAAGCTCCCCTTGGTCTATTATTGTGGAGAAGTCTTCAAATGTCATGACCTTTAAAGAGTCCTCTGTCATTATGACTGACATTTATGTATGTTGGTCTAATTGGTTTCTTTGAGTTAAAACCCAAAGGTACCGAAGGAAGATTATTGTCTGATACACACGTTGGTGCACCCTGAAGCCACAACATAGATTAAAGTT